TTTGCTATACATATATACATATTTCCTTATTGTCCTCCAGGAAACACTCTTCCCCAAGTGATATGAGGTAGTTCCTCTAATTTCTATCCTTTTGATCAACTGAATTATCTCAGCAAGGAAGTAAAATATTTTTTCCTTTGCCTACATCTGCCCTTTACTCAAATATTACTGTCTCCCAAAGGAAATTCAGATACTTGATTTGGAGTCCTTTCAGTTTATTTTCTATCAGATATACCTTTTGACTAGTGACTGTTAATACCATGTGTTCTCATGTTACTGAACTTGATAAATACAGTAATATTTAAATGGTTTCCAAATGGTAGGGTGCCTCATGGTGAACTGACACTTTCAAGGATAACAATTACAATATGGACAAAATATAAAACCAGATATTTAAAAGCACTGAAGAATGAACAAATGAAGGTGAAATTAGAGGGAATCTGACCACTTAAAAATAGGTACTGCGTCAGGTAATTTTGCATTTATATGGCTTAATGCCTTAAGATATAACCCAGAATTCACAATGAGAGAAGGCTGGGGTTAATAAAAGAGAAAACACAAATAATACAAGTAGCTGGAGTTCATCAGAGACAGAGCTGTAGGCTCCTAGTATAGTTGTAGAATACAGATGGGGAAGAAAAGACAGACCCACAGGAGAGTGACTCCCATAATCGGTTTATGTATGTGTGTGCTCAGTCATTTCAGTTGTGTCTGACTCTGTGATGGAAAGGACTATAGTCTGCCAGGATCCTCTGCCCATGAGATTCTCCAAGCAAGAATACTGGAATGGATTACCATGCCCTCCTCTAGGGGATCTTGCTGATCCAGGAATCGAACACACATCACTTATGTCTCCTGCATTGGCAGGCAGATTCTTTACCACTAATGCCACCTGGGAAGCATCATTAAATCCTCAGATGACCCTAAAGTATTTATGCAAGTGAAAGTCACAGCTGACAGTCTCAAACAACAAAATTCTGCAGCTGCTGTGTTTCACATGATTGTCAGTTTGGAGTTTGAGTTTGTTAAAGTAAATTCCATGCTGCTAACAAATATCAAAATTTTTCAGAGGCAGATAAAAAAGACAAAGACAGGGTCTCTGAAACATATTATTCATAATGTACAATATAAAGTCTAAGATTATTGAGAATGAAAAAACTAGGAAATACAATCTATTTTCTATAGATGAAACAGATGCTTTTATTAGTAGAGAAGGACCTTAAAATATCCATGATAAATATTTGCAAAAGCATAAAAAGAAAATATTTTAATGAACAAAAATACAGAGAAAATTCAGCAGAAGAAATTATAGTACAGAAAATCACAATAACTAAAATTTAAAAAACAATTCTGTATGGGCTTGACTACAGTTTAGAGAGAGCAGAAGATGAATAAAAATAAAGATATATTAGTAGAAGTTATCTAACATAAAACCCAGAGGAATTAAAAAAAAAGTAAACCATGGAAAAATATATAGTGGCTAGCATACAGTGATTGTTATGAAAAATGGTACCAAAGAAGTAAAAGCTAATATATTTATAAATTTAGTAAAAAGAAAGAAAGAAAAATCAACTTCAAATAATTTTTTTTCAAAACACAAGCAGGATCAAACAAATAAAAAAAGGGCTATGCTTGATCAAAGTGCTGAAAAATGAAGATAAATAGAAAATCTTGGACACAGAGAAGTGTATACATTAGAAACAGAAAATTACAATACAAATAATAGCTGACTTCTCATCAGAAAAAAGTAAAGACTAGGAGACAACGAATCAACAACTTTAAGAGCGGCCGACGGTGGCGGGTCGCGCTGTGCGGGCGGCGTGCGCGGCCGCGTGGGCCATGGGGCGGCGGTCGCGGGGCCGGCGGCTTCAGCAGCAGCAGCAGCAGCAGCGGCCTGGGAGCGCGGAGGACGGCGGAAAGCGCAATGGGGCGGTAGGAGCCGGGGGAGGGCGGACCGGGGCCCCGAGGCCTGCGGGGCGGCGAGGGGGCGGCTTCGCGGCCCTGGGTGCCAAGTTTCTCATACTCCTCAGGGCTGGGAAGGCGGCTACCCCGAGATCGTCAAGGAGAACAAGCTGTTCGAGCACTACTACCAGGAGCTCAAGATCGTGCCCGAGGGCGAGTGGGACCAGTTCATGGGAGCGCTCAGGGAGCCTCTCCCGGCCACTTTAAGAATTACCGGTTACAAGAGCCATGCAAAAGAGATTCTCCATTGCTTAAAGAACAAGTATTTCAAGGAACTGGAGGACCTGGAAGTGGATGGGCAGAAAGTTGAAGTTCCACAGCCCCTGAGTTGGTATCCTGAAGAACTTGCCTGGCACACAAATTTAAGTCGAAAAATCTTGAGAAAGTCTCCACAGCTGGAAAAGTTTCACCAGTTTCTGGTCAGCGAGACGGAATCTGGAAACATCAGCCGTCAAGAAGCCGTCAGCATGATTCCACCGCTGTTGCTGAATGCCCACCCACACCATAAGATCTTAGATATGTGTGCAGCTCCTGGGTCAAAGACCACACAGTTGATTGAAATGCTGCACGCGGACATGAATGTCCCCTTTCCAGAGGGCTTTGTCATCGCCAACGACGTGGACAACAAGCGCTGCTACCTGCTGGTGCACCAGGCCAAGCGGCTGGGCAGCCCCTGCATCATGGTGGTCAACCACGACGCGTCCTGCATCCCACGCCTGCAGATGGACGTCAACGGCAGGAAGGAGGTCCTCTTCTACGACCGCATCCTCTGTGACGTCCCTTGCAGTGGAGATGGCACAATGAGAAAAAACATTGACGTCTGGAAGAAGTGGAGCACCTTGAACAGCCTGCAGCTGCATGGTTTACAGCTGCGGATTGCAACTCGGGGAGCTGAGCAGCTGGTGGAGGGGGGCAGGATGGTGTACTCTACGTGCTCGCTGAACCCCATCGAGGATGAAGCCGTCATAGCGTCGCTACTGGAAAAGAGTGAAGGTGCGTTGGAGCTCGCCGACGTGTCCTCAGAGCTGCCGGGACTGAAGTGGGTGCCTGGGCTCTCGCAGTGGAAGGTGATGACTAAAGATGGGCAGTGGTTCGCATCCTGGAACGATGTCCCCCACAATAGACACACCCAGATCCGGCCGACCATGTTCCCCCCGAAGGACCCCGAGAAGCTGCAAGCCATGCACCTGGAGCGGTGTCTTAGAATATTACCACATCATCAGAACACTGGAGGGTTCTTTGTGGCGGTGTTGGTGAAGAAGTCTTCAATGCCGTGGAATAAACGTCCCCCAAAGCTGCAGGGTTAGCCGGCGGTGCCGCAGGCCTCCGTCCCCCTGAACCCCGTGGAGCCTCCGGCGGGCAGCAGCTCTGACCCTTCAGAGCTGGAGAGCAAGCTGGCGCCTGGGATCAGCGACACAGAAGCAATGGAGACAGCGGAGAACGTGGAGAACAGTGGGAGTAAGAAGGATGGCGTGTGCGGCCCTCCTCCATCTAAGAAAATGAAGCTGTTTGGATTTAAGGAAGATCCGTTTGTGTTTATTCCCGAAGACGACCCGCTGTTTCCACCTATCCAGAAGTTTTATGCTTTGGATCCCTCGTTCCCAAAGACAAATCTGTTAACTCGCACCACGGAAGGGAAGAAGAGGCAGCTCTACATGGTGTCCAAGGAGCTGAGGAACTACGTCCAAGTTCTGTTAACGCAGGAAAACCCATTCTTTAGGAAGCTCAGCAGCGAGGCCTACAGCCAGGTCAAGGACATGGCCAAGGGCAGCGTCGTCCTGAAGTACGAGCCGGACCCCACGAAGCCAGACGCGCTGCAGTGCCCCATCGTGCTGTGCGGCTGGCGCGGCAAGGCCTCCGTGCGAACTTTCGTGCCCAGGAACGAGAGGCTGCACTACCTGCGCATGATGGGGCTGGAAGTGCCGGTGGGAAAGAAGCGAGAGGGTGCCGTTGGGGCGCCTGGGGCAGGCGTGGCCAGCCCCGCGGAGCCGGAAGACGGGGTGGATGCGGCCAGCCCCGCGGAGCCAGAAGATGGGGCCGGTGCTGAGCAAGAGGCCGGCCTGGACGCCTCCTCAGGTGGGGACCCGGCGGGCACTGGCCTGCCCCGGTGAGCCGCGGGGACCCCGCCAGGGTTGCCCCGAAGACCAGATCTGGGACGTGCCTATGAAGATGCAGCTTACAGGAGGCCTGGTCTCCGGATGATCCCAGGACTCCCTTCACATGGAGCTAACAGAAAGTATCTTTTTAGCTTGTTAGTAACTGCTCACTTACTTTGTTTCTTCAGCAAAGTTGATCCTCTGTGCCTGTTGCTGATAACAGACTTGGATCATTAGAAGTCTTACTCTGCCAGGAAATGTGACTGCCTTGGCAGGAAGCTTCAGGTCCCTTTTGTTATGCCTGTATTGGTCTTAAGGCCCAGAACTTCTTTTTAAGTGTTATTTATCGAGAGAATCTGTCACTACTTCCAGATCATTGGAAGACTGTACTGTCAGCTTTAATAATTGTATTGAGTTGCACATGAGTGTGACGTTAGTATGTGGTGGGGTTAACATCTGAGGTGTCAGATGACTTCTGTGCCTTTGTAATAAAGGGTAAAACAAACTTTATCTCACAGTAAGAGTTTATTGTGAGTTTGTGATACTAGTTATGAAGGTTTTGTGTGCTTTTATTGGAATGCTCTGCAATTAAATAATTTTTAAATGGGGTTTGGGATCCTTGGAAAGTTTAAATAAAGAATTATTAATGAAAACAGGTAAAAAAAAAAAAAAACAACTTTAAAATGCAAAAAGTAAAAAAAAAAAAAAATAAGCAACTCAAACCATAATTCTATAACCAGTAAAAATGTCCTTCAAAAATTAAAATATGTTTTCAGATAAACAAAAATGGAGAGGTATCACCAGCAAATATTTTATTCAAGGAATGCTAAAGAAAGTCCTTCAGACTGAAAATGAAAGACCCTAGGTGTAAACTCATAGCCACATAAAGGAATGAAAGGCAAGATCCCATTTCATGAAGAGGAAAGCAAAGCTTCAAAGAGTTAAAACATGTAGTTAGTGTTAACTTGATTAACATGGGCAGAACTGTTGCAGGAAGGGGGACCCCTTCCAGGGCCCGAAACTGGGCTCTTGTCTAACACTCAGAAATGAATTGTCCGAGGAGACATATGCTGACAAAGCAAGAGATTTCATCGGGAAAGGGCACCCTGGTGGAGAGCAGTAGGTAAGGAAACCCAGGAGAACTGCTCTGCCGCGTGGCTGGAAGTCTAGGGTTTTATGGTGATGGGATTAGATTCCGGGTGGCTTTGGTCAATCATTCTAATTCAGAGTCTTTCCTGGTGGCGCACACATCGCTCAGCCAAGATGGATGCTAGCAAGAGGGATTCTGGAAGTGGACGGACAGGCAGGGTCTCCTCTCGACCTTTCCCGAACTCTTCCAGCTGGTGGTGGCTTATTAGTTCCGTATTCCTTATCAGGACCTCCTGTCATAAAACAACTCATGCGAATGGTTACTATGGTGCCTGGCCAGGGTGGGTGGTTTCAATCAGTGTGCTTCCCCTAACAGAAACGGAATTCATAGCAGGAGTATTTGATCACAGGACTTGAGCTTTACTTATGAAGTCTCTATCTTGCTTTCCTCCTGTTATCCCTGTCCCTTATGGTATATACTCAGTTCATAGTTCACACAACACAGACACAAGTACACAAAATTCAATAACTGAAATTAATGTCACAGTAGAAAATAAATTCAACTCACTTTGTATATCATTTAACAAAAGTGTAATGTATTAGAAATTGCAGATTAATGAGTTAGAATATCATCTGTTTAAGGGAGTGTCTGGTTTTAGCAACAATATAGATGCTGAAAATATAAATCTGGACCAAGATAAAAAGTAGTAAGCTTCTGCTCTCCCTTGTAATTGGCCCTATTTTCACATGGTTTGTCCCTTAATATTCTAATATCTAAGAATCAACTCCAAAGCCAAATGTGGAAGCTGGGGAACTGGGTCTGTAAATTGATTTCTGGTGAGTTAGTGTCTTGATTACTATTCACCATTGTCTAGTTTATAAATGCTTTTCAACTGTAATGCTTTTCATTATGCTCAAGTTTACAGCAATATGTAATTTTTGGAAATGTTTTTATGGGGCAAAATCAAGATCCATAACCAAGTGTAGTCTACACTCTGGGTGCCTACTATATAAAGAATAAATAATAAATCCCACTCCCATTAAGAAATTGTAGTTAAGTAGACACACTGGATACAAATTAGAAACAAAGGGGAGGAATAAAACACAAAGATCAAAAAACACAAAAAAGTATATACATGCAGTCCTGTAATTAGGCTCATAGACACTGAAAATAAATGTAGATATGGCTGTTTATCTGAATAAAGACACAATTACTAGCTGGTTAGTCTCCTTCTTTCCCTTCATTTTTTGTATTTCTTCCCCTTAGAGTCAAGTTCTACAGAAGAAGCCCCTGAGAAGATCATGTAAATTCACATGAGTTATTAAGTAATTGTTCACAAGGAAGCTTGGTAAGGAGTAGAGGAGATAAGGTGGGGAAAGATAGAAACAAAACTAAACAAGTTACCAATTTTATGTCCTGACTTCAACTTGAGTGAAACAATGATTTGATCTGCCAGATACCATCCATGCAGGCTTTCCCAAGGCTACGAAGACACTATTATTGTGTTTGAGAGGTAATTTATCCTTATTGGGATAACTCAGGTCTCTTTCAAAATCTTCTGTGCAAGAATCCTCAACCAATTTATGTTAATATTGCTAGCCATTCTTACCATGCATCACTGAATTTTTATGACAAAATTCTCCTCCCATTAGAAGTGATAAAGACATTTTTTTAATGAAAAAAAAGTGTAAAATTCATTAAAAACAAGAGTAGAGTTCCCTCTTTAGATAATGACTTACTAGAAAAACAAAGATCTGATGCCACTAAACTGGTTTTATCCTACATATAAACAACCAGTGAGCTATTTTAACTTATTTTTAGCTTGTTTTGCACATAATTTAAAAGATCATATTAATAAATAGAAAATTCTATTTGTTTACCTTCATTATTATTGATACATGTAAATACAGATATTAAAAATGTAAGTAAAAGAATCACAAATTATATATCAATATAAATCACAAATTATAATCTATCTCAAAAATATCTGGAGAGAAATCCAGAATCTTTTACTGACAGAATATTTCATTGTTTATTTCTTAAGACAGAGGATGAGTGAGATGAGGGACAACAGAGGATGAGGTGGTTGGATGGCATCACTGATTCAATAGACATGAGTTTGAGCAAGCTCCGGGAGTTGGTGATGGACAAGGAAGCCTGGCATACTGCAGTCCATGGGGTCTCAAAAAGTCAGACATGACTGAGCGACTGAACTGAGCTGAACTGGTTTTATAAGACAATATAAAATTAGAGTTAAAAGAACTTAGTTGTAAGTTTTAAAACTTTTATGCAATAGAAGTATAATATTATTTTGGCTGAGATTCAGAAAGGAGAATATTAGGAATCAGTTTCTGCCATTTAAATCAAAATACATGTCAAGATAAGCCAATTTCAATTCTTTGAGAAAAGCATTGGAAGACTGATTAGGATTACAATAAGTTTCCTACTTATTCATTGGAAGGACTTAGTCTTACTTATTCTTTGGAAGGACTGATGCTAAAGCTGAAACATCAATACTTTGGCCACCTGATGCAAAGAACTCACTCATTGGAAAAGACCTTGATACTGGGAAAGATTGAAGGCAGGAGAAGAACAGGGTTCCCTACATATAAATGAGTTCCATTCCAATAGCATGTTCATAAATCCAATTTGTTCATTAAGTTCAGCAAAGTCAGCCTAGATACCCAACTAACAATCAGCTATACAGTGCTATATGATAATAGGTTTACAATAGTTTTCACGCAAATAATACATAAAAACAAACACAAAATAAAGAAAATATATATTTTTTTAATTTTACAGTACTAATCTTGAGAAGGACAGTATCAGAGAAGGAAATGGCAACCCACTCCAGTACTCTTGCTTGGAAAATCCCATGGATGGAGGAGCGTGGTGGGCTACAGTCCACCGGGTTTCAAAGTGTCGGACAGGACTGAGTGACTTCACAGTTTCACTTTCACCAGCTACATCGCTACTGCTTTTATGCTTGCTTCTGGACATCCTGGAGAGGGAAATGGCAACCCACTCCAGTATTCTTGCCTGGAAAATCCCATGGATGGAGGAGCCTGGAAGACTGTAGTCCATGGGGTCGCAAAGAGTTAGACATGACTGAACAACTTCACTTTCACTTTCTGGACATCCTTAGTGTAAAATAAAGATACCGTTCTACTGTACTCTATACAGTATTTTAAAGTACACAAAAACACAACCACTTGTAGAGAATGCATGCACACGTTAATGTACACCAGATACAGGAACAAACTTAAATGAATGAACACGTGAATGTGTGTTTGCATCTTTAAAATTTTGCAACTTGAAGTTTTGTTAGGGGACTTGCTATAGTTTGTGATTAACTTAAAACATTCTACAACAATGAATTAGAGATTTATATAATGGGACATATCAAAGGTAGATGAATGCTATGGCTGAACTAATATTTCTAAAACAACTTCGAGTTGTGAGTGAAGATTGAATTGTATAGGAAATAGAAAAGAAGCAAGAAAAAAAAAATTGGAAACTGTTCAGTAGGTCATGGAATAGTCCTGGATCAAGCAGTGATTCTGATCATGAGGACAACGGGATGGATTACTTCCCTCATTTCATTTTTGCAGGTCTTTTATTAATGACCTCTGAAAATTTCTTA